GTGGAGGGGCTTACCGGGCCCGGGGCCGGGCCCACCCTAAGTCACCAACTGGTGACAGCAAGCAATGCAGTTCACTCTGCTCACGTACATCAAGGTTATCTTTCTACAGAAGAGAATTAACAAAATAATTTGTATAAAATTGACTCAGAAGTTGTAGCCGTCTGTGTCTGATATTTAGATATTTATCACCCTGTTGGCGGTTTTAATAGTTGAGCAGGAGCAGCTTTTTAACGCCTCATACGTCTACTTTTAAAACGTTTAAGCTGTTCAGAATACAGACCCAGGCTCTGCCTCGCTGGGTTGTTGTAATTAAAGTTTGCACAGAAACTCAGCATTAAACAATGTAGAACAGGTAAGAAAAGGATCAGATCAGTTAGTTTTCTTCCTCATTTACAGTGATGGAGACATGGACGTAATTTGGGGGGGGGGGGGGGGGGGGGACCAAGCGGAAAACAACCGTTTGTGTTGAAGCCTGTTTCCCATTAGAGCATACTGTAAAGATACCCCCCCCCCCCCCCCCCCCCCCCACACACACACACACACACACACTTCTAAAGCGAAAATGACGTCCATGGATGGAGATAACGGTGCAGTGCTCGTGGCTCTGGTGTTAATCAAGTTTAAACGTTTCTCTTTGCAGCAATCTTCACAAGAAGGAAAAACAGCTCAATGGCGGGGTTCACACTGACTGAATATTTCCTGTATTCGACCGTTTATTTTGACAGAGAAACCTCAAAGCTGTTGGTCATTTTGAAAGAATTACCCCGACGCACGCACATGCGTTGACACTTTAATTGTTAAGCACATTACAGAGGTGGCTGAATCAATCAAGAAAAGATTCCCATCAGAAGATCTGAGCTGGACACTGCTCAGCGCCGCTCGCTGTCAGCCTCGTACGTAAGGTGGACAGCAAGCCGAAGATGTGGAGAGTGGCTTGGAGCACATGGGTTTCAGGCAGCAGCAGAACCAGAGCCATGCAGGAAGGTTCCTCTCACTGAAGCAGGCGTTTTCCAAACCCTGTCTCTCAGAAACTGTTCCCTGACCATGAGACTTTGGCTGAAGAGCGCTTGTTCCTGTCTCTAATGGTGACACATCCATGAGACTGAGGAAAAGTCCAGAATCTCATCTTCAACTCCAAAAACATCTACAGAGACATTTTATTACGCACAGGTTGGACCTGGTCGGATTTACACAGACAGTCTCTACATTTAGAACTGGCTACAGACGAAGAATGAATGCAGTGACATAAAATACATTTTATTTAAATATTCATTCATTATTTTACAAGCACAGAGAGCCGCATCAGATGGATGAAAGAGCCGTGGGTTGCTGACCCCTGACCTAGATTTAACGGCTCCCTGTTCTTCTCACCGGTGTTCAACAGTGAACAATAGTGAAATGATGGTGAAGAGTGCATTTTCACACAACTCAATCCAAAGTAGCGTTTTGAGTTGTGCTCTGCACATCCTGCATGCTTCTCTGCACATCGAAGAGCTTGTCTCGATACTAGAAATACAAAATCTACCCCGCGGGCTTTAAAGAGTGGCTGCTCAGCACATGAAACAAGCGTTCAGTCTTGAGGCCGTACCAACTTATCTATCCACGCCAACGACTCCAATGTGCACAGTTTCATTTTTCATAAGCTGTAATCAAACCTGCCATGCAGCACTATGTGTATGTTTGTTACATGTGTGTACTTTCCTTGTATTGTTGTTGTTTACACACTTGGTAGAAACAAGTCAGATCAGGTCCATGTAATCTACAGTGGGATCATTTTGTGTGAAGAGGAGAACATTCCATATTCATACAATATTCCCGTGTATAACTGTAAAATCGTGAATTTAACTTAGTAATAATGCAACTACTAGTTAGTTTCCAAGTATGAAGGAAGGTTCCGGATTAACTTCCCAAATTTTAAGTTACATCATTATTATTATTAATGATGTTAAATACAAGCTAAGGAGCCCAGACTTCCCTCTCCCCAGCCACTTGGAGCAGCTCGTCCGAGGGAATCCCAAGGCTTTCCCTGGCCAGCTGGGAGACATAGTCTCTCCAGCGTGTCCTGGGTCTTCTCCCTTAGGTCTCCTCCTAGTTGGACGTGCTGAGAACACGTCACCATGTCGAGGAGGTATCCTGACCAGATCCCCGAGCCTCTGAGGAGAAAACTCATTTCAGCCGCTTGTATTCATGACCCAAAGCTCGTGACCACAGGTGAGGGTAGGAACGTAGATCGACCGGTAAATCGAGAGCTTTGCCTTCTGGCTCAGCTCTCTCTTCACCCCGACAGACCGGTACAACGCCCGCACCACCGCAGACGCAGCACCAGTCCACCTGCTGATCTCATGCTCCATCTTCCCCTCACGCGTGAACAAGGCCTCGAGACATGGAGAAGGCATTCTACCCTTTCCCCGCCCAAGACCGTTGTGATGACAACGATTGTAATTATGTAGCTTAAAGCTGCATGGACAAGATTCCTCCACATACACGTGAGCCTCAGTCAGACGTAAGTACGCTGCCTTCTGTTATCACTGCAGCTGAACAAGTTCCCCTCTGACCTTTCTTCTGTAAACATGGTGTAAATGTGGACGTTGTTTAGGTGCAGATGGTTCCTCAGAACAACCCAACCAAGCTGACTCACAGCACCCACCTCCAGGAGCTCACCCACAAACCAGCAGGTGACTATTGTTTTATTATTCAGCAGTAGTGTTGACTGATAAACGAAACCACTAGCATATATGCCCCGTGGGGTATTTTCCCTTTTCACTAACACCCCAGCCCCCCTTTAGTCCTCCTCCATCTTCTGCCGACGTGAAATTACTCTCCAGCCAGGCAGCGAGGTCAGAGTGTCTGGCCTCTGTGATTTATGTTCCCCTCTGCATGTGTGTGTGTGTGTGTGTGTGTGTGTGTGTGCGTGCGTTTGTGTGTGTGTGCGTGTGCGTGCGTGTATGCATGCGCGTGCACGTGCGTGTGCGTGTGTGTGTGTGTGTGTGAAGATACAAGGGAAATTGAGAAAATCCTTGCATCTGATAGTCTGAGACCAGGGATCAGGCTGGTTCTGTCATAAGCAGATTAGGCCCTTCTCACGTCTGCGTGTTCAGTGATTCATGCAGAATAAAGCTGATTTTGATTTGCTTCATATGTTCTGTTTAGTCTTGGCTTCAGTCCTGGACCACCTACCTGACCCAACCCTGGATCAGCAGAAGAACGTGCATAGATGGAGAAAAGGGTGACACAAGGACAGATGATGGACGTCTAATACAGCGTAATCATAAGTAACACCATCATGGTGTTAATGCTCATGTAACACCTCATGAACTAGATGTTGCCAACAATAATGAGAAAGAGGCCGTCATCCGTTGATGTGACTGTGTGAGTCGACCTACCAAACCTTCCATCTGAGTGCAGATAGTAAGAAGAAGACAGAATGGCTCAGCGCTGCAGGAACTATCGTGTTTAACATGAAATCAGCCGGGGAAGGAACAGCGCTCGGTCTCTGTACCCTGTACCGCGTTGTTGTATACAGATGGAAAATAGCACTTAACTAAAGGTATGGCAACATTTTAGGTTCATTAATATGCACTGCCCTGTTCAAATAAAGGTCAACTTTGCTGATATTATTTTTATACATGTGCAGCGGTCGCTAGTTGTGCCTGTTTGAGAACGTAGAAATCAGCTGGAGGAGAACGTTGCTTCAGACGACAGAATTTGGAGCTTTATTTCCTGATGTTCCTTATTTCCTAACCCTAACCCTGCAACGAGGCGGGTGAGAGGAAACGGCGCCTCTGACACAAACGATGGCTGCTGGAGAAGACAAGCACCTCCATAACTTGTCACCAGAGGAGAAAGAGCTCCATTGCTGCTCATTACTCTCATGCAGATGTATTCAGGCGTTAGAAAGGCTGCCCCAGTCAGGATTGAGTCATGGTTGCTGAAAACGTCACCAGACCGACTGACTGTAGTGATGTAGTGAGAGTTAAATCCTGAATCACGACTGTCTTTATTTTTACTCTCACATGTAGCTTCATGATCTGCTAGTTTACAAGTGGATCTCCAAACGTCTCCAAGTGTATTGTGGGTAAAAGTCCTTATCAGCCGTCCACCACCATCATCATCATCATCATCATCGCTTGTCAGCAGACAGCAGACTGAGTGGCTCAGGGATGATTTCAGTTCCGTTCTGAAGACGGAATTTTTCAGAGAAGATGATCATCGTAACGAGAGTCCGCCCAAGCCCGTCGCTAGCTTGTCTCCGCCAGAGGCAACTCCGCCTCGGCCTCCGTGGCCAAAAGGACCTACTGATGGACCTAAACAGCTCTAAGACAACGTTACTGAAGTCTTCCTGCAGAGAGGAGGATGGTTGTCATCTATAAATAATCAGCAGCTATGGTGAGTGTTGCTCCTTTTATTTACACATGAAACCAAATGAATACATGCAGCTGTCCCTGTCGTATATTTGTATGCAGACACTCTTGTGTGTTAAACATTCATGCACGCTCAGCTTTGTGCTCACGCCGTCTCTCTGTCCTGCTGTCTCTGCAGACCAACCAGGAAAGGAAAAAGCACTTTTGTCTTTCATTACTGAACATGCCTTTGGTCGTTTTAGCTGTTGATCATGAACTGGGGCTGGCGGTGGAGGTGCAGCTGCAACGTAGAGGGTCATTAGCTCCGCCCCCGGCCCGGCTCGGATTTGTTCTCTGCCATTGACCACACCCATGAAGGAGTAACATATGTCCTTTCTATTGATGAGCTAGCAAAGACAAACTCAGATACTAGAAACTATAATGAAGCAAATCAAAGAAAAAATGCAGAATAATTCTGATTTATGAGTCTGGAAACAAAGTGATACCGCGCTAGCAGGTATGCAAGTCAATCACAATACCATCTGTTTTCTTGGTACATTTTAGCATCAAACCCAACACTGACATGCTCCCTGGGGGAGCTGCTGGCAGCCTGCGGTGTAGAGTGATGGATGTAAAGTGCAAATGTCAGGGTGCTCTAACCTGCTGCTCTCCCAGCTCCCTCTTCAGCCGGTTCTGCCACTGCAGCGCCTGCATCACTATCGCCTCCCACCGCCTCTCCAAGTTGATCGACAACAGCTGCAGGGCTTCTCGGTGCTGCTCTGCATCGGGGCCCGCCTCAGCCATCGGGCCCGACTGTCCAAAGAGGAGATTAGAGAACATTCATTTTAGAAATGCATTGAAATGATTTACATCATAAAAAATCATCATGGTACACTATTTCAATAAAAAAAGAAAATATTTGTATTTTTTTACTGCTTAAGCAGACATCAAACATCACAGCCACTACAGCCTTTGTTTGTGTTCAGCAGTGATGTGCTGGGATGAAGACCTGGCTCCTCCAGCTCACCTGGCTTTGCTGCAGTAACTTCTGGCACAGTTTCAGAACCGAAGCGACTCCTCTGCGTCGGGCTCGGATCTCTGAACTCAGCGACTACAGGGTGACACACGCCACAACCAAGGTTGGGAAAGAGCAGCAAACATCATAGCCGTCACAAACACCAATATATATATAACAGTGATCAATACTAGAGTTGCCACAACCCAACAGGAAGTGTCCCCTCTAGAGCCTGACTGATGGTTATTATTGTTTATGATTCATATAAATAGGATTTGTTTGTTTGTTCATTCACTTTTTAATGACCGCTTCTAATTCCTGACTTTCATGAAGCATCACTGTGGGGTTTATTTTTGTGTTACGGTACGTTTCAAAAGATTTTCTTCATCAATAAACAGTGATTCTTCATATGTTCACTTGTGTTTACTCTTTCTTTCTGCTCCATGCAAAATAAAAAACAAAGATAAAATGTTTCTGCTTTGCTGCTGGCCTCGTCTTTTACGCTTTTTTATCAGTTCTGTTTCAGTTCTTTAGAAAAACGTCAGTAATTAAGTGGACGAGTGAAACTGTTGTGGACCAGGTTTGGTCCTTTGGAGCATGAAGAAAGAACATCAATAAGAAAAACTGCATAAAGTTTCTTATCAACCGATAATTGTGAATAAAACCGCATTTTAGTTGCTAAATAAAGTGAAACCGAAAACAGCAAACATGCAAAACTATCTAATATTTTCTTCTGCTCACCCTCGCCCTGTCTAATAGATGCAAATATGAGGAGAAGAAAGAAACCAGGATTGGCAGTGCCTATTATAAATCACTATATGCTGATGAGTTTTCACACTCAAAGGTCAGTGTGTGTGTGTGTGTGTGTGTGTGTGTGTGTGTGTGTTTGTGTGTGTGTGTGAGTAAGTAAAGAGGGGACAACCTCACCCCCCTGCAGCAGGGACCAAAACACGTCCAAGTCCTAAACTATTTATGCTAATCCCACCTGCTCGCTGAAAAGCACTTCTTTTACATTTCCTTACATTTTTCCAATAAATATTAAACACTATTACAATGAAATGGTATTCTCTTCTCTGTCTCTCAACACACACACACGCACACACACACACACGCACACACGCACACACACACACACCCACACCACTACTTCTGTTCTTTCCTCCTGCTCACTTTATTCAGTTTAGCATATTTGTGGCTCGGCTGCTTGTCTAAACAGGAGATGGGGATGCAAAATACTGCAGACAGGATCAAGAGGACGAGGCTGAGAGAGCATGAATGTGTGTGTGTGTGTGTGTGTGTGTGTGTGTGTGTGTGTGTGTGTGTGTGTGTGTGTGTGTGTGTGTGTGTGTGTGTGTGTGTGTGTGTGTTGATGGGGATGCAGGTAAATTTATTCCAAACAGGAGGTTTGTATTATGTAGAAAAAGAAAACAACAAAACGAGTGATTCATGCTGTGCCAAATAACGGCAGCAGGTGGTATGAAGAGAACACAGAGAGATGAGTTTACTTTGATTCAGGCTGGAACAATATCTCAGTTACTTTATTCATGGTGCTGTGGTCTTTACTCACCAGTCAAATGAGAGAAACTCCAAAACAACATGAAGATTTTAAATGTTGAACATCTGAGGACTTAAAGGGATTTTAGGGGCATTTTTAAGAGAATTTAGGTGTAAAAGGTCAATAATATATTATCTTACATGTCATAGATGGCTTCCTGAATGACCACTCTTTGGAGATGTACTGTAGTAGTTACAGCTTTTAGGAGGCAGAAGTAGCCAAAACCCAGTGTCTTCTGTTGGCTAAATTGTTCAGGAACAAGATCCCTTGACATTTCTGGGCCCTGCTCTGTACCTCGATGGTTGAGGCGGCATACCAGAGCTGTGGCTGCAGGGTCGTTTGTGTGCCTGTCATGGCAGCAACCCTCGAACACGGCTAGGGATGCTGTCATGTGGGAGTCCTATCGGGGCTTTTTGGTAGATGCCGACCGATATGGATTTATTAAGGTCGATGACGATTTTTCAAGAATTTTGTTGCTAATGGCCGATATCTAAAGCCGATTATTAAGGCTGATATAAGACAAATGTAGAACAAGCTATGATGTGATTGTAAAAACAAACGTTCAACAGCCACTCAGCCACTGCATTTAGGCTGATTGAGCTCTAAAGTCTTACAGTGTCCCATCGTGGGTCCATTCGGTTCACATCTGCTACCCATGTACTTTGACAGTGTTTTGCTCCATTCACTAGAACACAAATAATTGTTATTTAATGGTAGTTTTTAATGTCAGAGTCTATGGGACTTTCTGAAATTGCACAGAAATGCTTATATGGTTTGTTGTATTGTATTGCATCAAGTTTGATTAGGCCAAGTATAAAATGTGATGGTGAACTGCAGAAATTTGCATAAGATTGCATCATTATTTGAGAGGGGAAGCACTGTGCATTGTTATTTTTTGCAGTGTAACATAATAAACTGTTGGCAGTACGTCAACATTCATAAAAGAAGAAAAGCCTCTGTTTTCCAAATGATCAGACGATGAAATGTTTTTATAACTACAATAGAAAAATAGACACATTGGAAAGAGACATGGAGAAAATAGAGATTTAAAAACAAAAAAAGACAATGCAGAAAAAAAGGAGCCAGACAGTAAAAGAAAGATGGAAAACCAAAGGAGGGAGAGAGTGAGAAGCAACAGAGACAAGGACAAACTGTAAAAGGAGAGAGAGGAAAGACGTAGGAGAGACGGTGAGAGGGAATGAGAGGAGAATTTAGCTGCCTGCTTAGTGACCCAGTGGAAATTTCAATCAATTACCATTAATTAGAAATCTCTGATTAATTCTATTTGTTGATTAAGTCAATTAAAACCACAAGCACTCGTTATCGCACAACGAGCCTAATGAATTCCTGTCGACGATTTGTTCCCACACATATTCCCTCTGCTGCTGCTGATACAGCCTAAAGCAACCCAAACTTTATCATCTGCGTACACTTTTCCCTACCTCCTCTTACCCCACTGACATTGCAGTTGGATTTCCTACTCTTCAAGCTTTTCTTTCTTTGGATTTTCTTCAGATTTACTTACTTTATACTCGCTTTACCTGCTACACAAACGCATGATTTACAACAGTGCTAAACTCTTACTGCAAAGAATAGTTCAACCTTATTATTCAGAAAGTATATTCAAGACTTCCTAAAACCAGTTAGGTCATTGAAGAAAAACTTCCATTTTTCTTTAAAGCTACAACGGCAAATCTGCAAAACAAACTCACTTAAAACGTAGTTTTTATGCCTCTTGACATTCTCACACAGTATAGATATACATGTAATGTGAAGATGGCCAGAAGAGAACACCTTGGGATCCCCCTGGAGAAGTTCCCAGTGGCTGGGGAGAGGGAGGTCTAGGCCTCTTACGCCGGATTCACACAGGAAGCATCAGCAGGGTGGAACAGCAGTGGAACAGTTTACTTGTGAACTTCAAAGCGGTCCTTTTCACACCAGAAGAGTCTTGGCATGGCACAGTTTCCTTGCTGGGCTCTTTGCTGAACTCACGCGATCCCTCGATTTTTCAGGTCACAGTTTGTTTTTGCAATCCGCCATTAAAACTAAATGAAGGAAATCACTTTTGATATCGCTGTTTGAGGCCAGACATGATGTTGTTCCGCTCCACTGCCAGGATTAAAGCCATGAAAACACGCCGCTGCACTTCTGGAACCATGCTGTGAGTAAATAAGCCGTCAACTTCATATATATGAAATGTCGTACTTTTATTTTGAAAATTACAGGTATATTACACTGAAACTGTGTGTGATTTCCTGTCTAGCCCAAGGGATACTGCAGAAATTTATGCATCCCAGAAGCGGCTCGAGGAAAAAATAGAACCTAATCATATCTATAGCAGCGTGGCGTGCCGCTTCTGGGACACGCCTGGAAATGGCCGTGTCGCTGCTGGTTGGAAACCCTCCACAGACTATGATGGATTCTATTTGAAGCAGGGACGTCCCGCTGATGCGTTCAGTGTGAAACCGGAGTAAGGCTGCTGCCTCCACAACCTGACTCTGGGTAAGTGGAGGAAAATGGAAGATTCTCGCATTTTTCTAATAAGCTCAGGCAATGACACAGGTTGGTTCCAAATCAACAGTTGGACCAACCGCACTTTTGCAGTTAACTGCAATTAACCACTCACTACGCACTCACGCATTTTACAACAGAACACCTCTGCTGTGAGAGGTTCTTATTATCAGAGAAGGAGAAACAGCCAGCTGCTACCACTTTAACTTCAGGACAAACTACCAGAGACCAAAAAAGAAAAACACCATCTGAAGTCACGGACAACAAAAGACGTTTAGACCTAGAAGACAGCGACTCTTTAGCGCTCTTGTGTTTAATGTGGCAATGTGGGTTCCCATACCAGAGGGATGTGGCCTAGCTTGATAGCTGATGGGAGGAGTGAGTTCTGTTACTGTGTTTTTGTTTAATAACTGGTTTTTGTTGCAGATTTGCTATTGCAGCTTTGACTAGTCCTTACGTCCCCTCTTCTCTACAGTTTTCAAAATGCAACCATGATTGGAAGTTTAAAAGCTCTCTCCAAGGAATGGGTCACAAAACCTCTGAATTCAAGCTCCACTGAGAAGCACTTGACTCTCAGTCCTGACAGCTGATAGTTCAATTCAATTCAATTCAAGTTTATTTATATAGCCCCAAATCACAACAAGAGTCGTCTTGAGGCACTTCACACAGTAAACATTCCAATACAGGTCAGTTCATTAAGCCAATCAGTAACAAGTTTCCTATATAAGGAACCCAGCAGGTTGCATCGAGTCACTGACTAGTGCCAGTGACCGTCGATGTCAGTGACTAGTGCCCGTCATGACTAGCAATCTTGCCTACTTTGTGAACTTCCTCTCAAAGGTTCTTCTAAGCAGTCTCACATGGGGCTGTCAGTCCCAGCAGGACAGCTTGCATGGTAGCCTCAGACATTAGGACAGTCTGGTCAAAGGGAGGAGACAGCAATGAACTTAAGCTACCATCCAAACAGCTTCCAGTCTCTATCAGAGGTCAGGATGCCTGCCAATGATCTTCTGAGCAGGACTGCCGGTTC